AGTGCTTTTGTTTGAATCCGTTTCTGATTGCTAGGGAGACAAAGCATAAATGTCAATATTTGCCAGCTCAGATTGCAGTGTAATGCAGTAACTGAAGCAGCACAGATCAATATAGCTCTGGTCAGGTGGCTTTCTGGTATTTTTTCTCATATGAATTAAAATACTTTTGCAGTAGGTTGTGTATCTATTTATACACACACAGGTGTATAAAAAATCAAAGTAAACATCATAACAAATTATTGTAGTATTTACAGTACTCATTTTTTGTTTCTTTATAGTATGACTGAGGTGGTTGCCAGCACCATTTCTCACACATTCTCTTCAAAACAAGATACAGAAGTTTCTAGGTAAGGTAAACCTATATTATTTCATGTAATAAAAAATGGACTATTGCTATCAAATTTTCAGTCTGAAATAATGTGACGTGTAGATTTGATTACAGAATATTTGTGCCTATAAACTAAGTAGCTTTTCCTGAAATGTAATCCTTGAGGGTCATACACACTTGCATGTTGTCCAGAGTATCCCTTGAATCAAACATGTTATTTCAGAGCTATCAGATTTCAAGAGAAGTGATAGTTTAGTGTTTAGGTTCCAGAAGGAATCATATAATTTTACTGTAGAAGATACGTTGTTACATAAAATACCTGGAAAATAATATTTTAAGCTTATATTTGCATTTGTATTAAATTATTAAAATGTATGTACCCTACAATAAGTAATAGATTCATTTAAATATATACATAATATTTCTGTAAACAGGGAGAATGTTGGAATTGGGAAAAGGGGTCAGGAGTTGGTCTCAGGCTTTCAGTTCTAGAGCAGGCCTCTGTTTGGAGTGTTTATCATTTTAGAGGAAAATCTGAACAACAAATCCCTTTGAATTCCAGTTTTGAGTGTCTCAGTTGCTTTTCCCTCTTGAGGATGTTCCTTATTGCCAGCTTCTTTTTAAAAAAAGCTTTTCTCAAACTTTTGGGTTTTCAGGTCATGCTTTCACATTCTGATTGTCTTCCAAAAGATTTCCTATGTCCCTTTGCACCTATTACATATCCAAAACCTTTACAGTATTATCATTAGTCCTTGCTTCTGCTGCTGTTTCTTTACATGCTTAGAGAACGTCCTGTAAAACTGTGGAAAGTCCTCCAAAGCTTGCCTGTACCCATAGCAATGTCAGCATTTTTCTTAAACAGAGAAATGTCTTTTGGGTCAATTTCAGTTGATGGAGGTGAAGTCCTTCAGGTTTTTTATAGCTTAATGTAAATCTCAACCCTCTCTTCTTAGTGTAAGAAATTAATCGACTTGATAGTCTTTACCTAGTAAAAGATCTTATTGTCTCTGTGGGAAAATTTAATGTCTTGTTTCATCTGGTACATGTTATTTTAATTTTAGATGTTGGTTTTTTAATGGGAAATTTTGTTGTTGCTTTTTGATTCTAAATCTTTAAAGGCACATTACTTTAAATGAATCTGCCTTCTGTCTTATTTCAGCTAATAATGTCTTTCCTCATTTTCCATCAGCTGTCTGGTTTTGTGATTAATCAGGCCCTTTTGCAGTCCTGTTTGTCAAGTCATTGTTTTCTGCCTGTATCTCTAGTGAAGACAGTATTTCAGATGTGTTTGTGGCTACCGAATCAGATGGAACTTACAACTTCACGAGTGTTTTTCATTCAGTATTTTAAGAAATGTAGCAAAAAGGTGTCATACATATTCTCTGGTGAAGAGTGTGCAGTGTTAATTATTAAATTATTCCTACAAATTAGTTAAGTTTTTGAAAAACATAGATACCTAAAATTTTCTGGATTGACTTAAGACAGCCTTATATAGGTGCTTTGAACTATGAATGTTTTTCATAGTTTTGTTCTTTTCCTCCTTAAGTAATGCAGACATTCCTCTAAGTGATGGTCAGCCTTCTCGGACAGTTGTGTCAACTATATCAAGTGTTGCCTCCCATACTTCTGTTTGTGCAAAGAAGCAAGAAGTCAAGGAAGAAATCCCTGCAGAAGAGAAACTAAACACATCGGAAACTTGCAGGCAGATGCTCCAAGATGAAATGTTTAAGTTAGTTCAGGTGAGAGCATCCCTTTATCGTAAACAGTTTGCACAGTACAAACTTTTATTTAAACAATGAAGATAATTACCATTTTCAAGGCATTCTGTGTGTGGTTGTTTTAGAAAGAGATTTTCAGTTCCATGTCAACCACTGTGAAAACTTATTTTAGACTTAACTCTTGTTTTTGACTTAAGAAAATGAGTGATGTTATATCAGAAGTTTGATTGTGTTTTATTTCACATAGCTCCGTGTGCTCTGATAGTGTGCATTAGGAGAAATTGTGACTTTGCAGCTATACTGGGATTTGTGTTAGAATACTGAGCCAATTTTAAGTGACCTTGTATTTCCTGAAACCTCACAAAATGAGGGAATTTGTCTTGCCTATCATGACCTGACTGTGTCAGTTCAGGAAGGATATTGAAGTGCTGGAGCGGATCCAGAGAAGAGCAACGAGGCTGGTGAAGGGACTCCGAGCACAAGTGCTATGAGGAGAGGCTGAGGGAGCTGGGGTTGTTTAGCCTGGAGAAGAGGAGGCTCAGGGGAGACCTTATCACCCTCTACAACTCCCTGAAAGGAGGTTGGAGTCAGGTGGGGGTTGGTCTCTTCTCCCAGGCAACCAGCAGTAGGACAAGAGGGCACAGACTCAAGCTCTGCCAGGGGAAGTTTAGGTTGGATGTTAGGAAGAGATTTTTTACAGAGAGAGTGATCAGGCATTGGAATGGGCTGCCTGGGGAGGTGTTCGATTCACCATCCCTGGAGGTTTTCAAGATGAGACTGGATGTGGCACTTAGTGCCATGGTCTAGTAATGATGGTAGAGTTGTACTCAATGATCTTTGAGGTCTCTTCCAACCCATTTGATTCTATTATTCTGTGATCTAGTAAAATAAACAATTATACAAATGATTCATTGTTGAAACACCTATTTTAATAGGATAAATGAACAGCTATAACATAGCATAGATACAGAATTTTTGCTAAGATTGCTGTTAAAGTTGTTGGCAGTGTTAACTTTGTGTATGTGTACATGCAGCTACAGCAGATCAACTTCATGAGTTTAATGCAACTAGTGCAGTCGTCCTTTGCCAATGTACCAAATGTTCAACAAATGTTGCAACTGCATCAGTCTGTTCAGCTGGCAGGGAGCCAGGCTACACACACTGCTGAAGGCAATGGTCTTCCAGAAACACAGCTGCCCACTCAAGAAAATAAAGAAAAACCAGGTCAAAAGAGCTCTGATTTTCAACCAAGGAATAGCTTAGAAGATGAAAGCGTCAATGGCCATTTAAAAGTAGGTATATCAAAGTGTTGTTTGTGAAGACTGTTCATTGTATCTGATATGCTGTCCGTTCTGTTAAATTAGGAAATGTGTTTGTAGTGATAGATATGGATAAAAAGGATACATACCATTTTTGTGCACCTTTAGATGTGATTGCTGTCTGAATGCTGGTTTGTTTTCTTTTCTGAATTAGAATCATCCAGATATGAACGCCTCTTTAACCCTATTTGAAAGCCACAGCAAGGAAACAGGATTTATGTCACCATCCCAAGATTTGCATTCTTCAGTGCCTAGTAAACCACTTCACCTCCTAACCCCTTCCTCAGACATCCAGAAAACACTGAAGTTTATCCCTGTTGAAAAGAAAACAAGTTACTCAAATGGATTTCCTTTACTTAAACTCAAATCAGATTATCATTTCAAACCAGCATTCTTAGATTCCACAGAAGTGTCATCAGCTTCTGACCGACCACCCCCTGTACCACGAGTAGCTTGGTGTTCATCAGATACCTTGTGGACCCATCAGTCACCATACACACGAGGAAAGACTAAGGCAAAAGAGGATTTTAACAGGCGTGGATATTACCCTGAGATCCCAAGGCAAAGACATGAGAAAGAGAAGAGATGGGCAGAAAGAGTGCATAAGGGTCCTCCCAAACACCTGAATCTAGATCAGTACGAAGGACAGCAAGAAGTTACACCTCAGCAGCAGTTCTCTGCAAATGTGCATGAGTACAAAGACAAAGCACCCATCACTCATAACTTGGTTGGTATTCCACTATTGCACTTACAACTTGACCCAGTACCTAGACTTCCACCAACTGTGAGACAGCCGATCACCGCTACTTTAATACCTGTTAAACCTGCAACAAAGGATACTGACTCCAGAGAAACACTACAGGATACAGGAATTTCACTACTTAAGGCTGATTTATTTCAAAAAAAGAAGGTACTAGATTTTAATAATATATTTTTCTAAGTTGAAGTGTTCTTTCAGTTTCATGGTTTCTTACTCAGTACAAAGAAGTTCATGTTTCCAGACTATGGAACTCAGGAGTGTTCAGCACAGTTGCCAGAAGGGATCTAGAACTAAGGACACCTGCTTATTGGTATGTCAGTACAAGGCAGGCTGCTAGCCTGGAAGTGTCTTTAACAACATTAGATTGATTCCACATCCCATAGTTCATCAACATTCAGCCCATTAGTAATGAATGTAAAGAGTTTAGTGTCTAAAATACTGGACAATATTTATATGGTTAAAACAGTTCTTGGTTTTTTTCCAGAAATTAGAACAGAATTATTTACATAAATAGTATGTGGTGAGAAAGAGGTCAGAAATGGTATGTTAAAAGGCTTCATAAGAAAACCTTTTCTTTTGCATGCTGAGAACTTGATGTTTTGAAAAATGTTGTTTGTGATCAGCTCATATATATGCTTGTGCATTCCATTTGAAAAGAATGGAAATGTTTTTTCCTGAAAGGTATTTCTTCAGTCTTTATCTACATTATATAGTTCTTGCCTTCATCCTCCACTACATAAATAAGAAATGAAAATACTAGTGACGTGTTCTGTGAAGAAAATGCCTCTCTTTGAATTCAGTTTCAGGAAACAGTTGCACATGTACACATCAGCAGAGGTTCTGGTCTGGTGCCATTCATATATTCATTTCTGTTGTCTTTACAAATTGCTACAGGAGTTTTGTTTATATAACTGAGATCCAAACTGCACCTGACTTTTTCATCCAGTCTTACTGAGATTTCCCTCTCTGTTTCCTCTGTCTTCTTTATCTCTCTGAACCCTTTCAGGTACCAAAACTCATTCCACTTCAAGATCTCATAGCATTTGAGCAACGCCACCAGCATCATTCTGTGCCTGGTACTTCTTTTGGACAAGACCAAACTGAACCTATCCAGTTACTAAAAACAGATGTTGAACCTTTCAAACCAAGAGATGTGCAGAACAATAGAAAAAGGCAAGCCAAACCTTTAAAATGGGACTTCATTTTTAAAGACTTCCTGGTGACCTGTTCCTTCTAGCTTAGAAATCAGTGGGATTGGGTGTAATTCTCGGTGGAGAACGAAATACCAACTGTTACTAAAGACACAGCAGAAGTATATCGTTAGGGCATGAAGGTTTTTGCCGTTAGCAGACAGATTGGAAGAGCATTCAAGGGGAAATATTTTTCATACCAGTATCTGTGTTTTAAAGGGTTGTTGTTACCTGTTTGCTGTGTACTGTTTATGAAATGCTACTTACACAGTGAATCATAACAAGCTGCTGTCTATGCAGTATATTGTCACTGAGAGTAGTAATCTTCAAGAAGAAAAGGCCTGCACTCAGTATAATCCACTATATGGGCTGTTTTTGAATACAGTGATTAATTGGCAAAATTCCT